CCACCGCCGCCCCTGCCAAGCTCAACCTCCAAGCCCTCCTTGAGGGGCAGCTCAAGGCCGAGGACCCTTTCGACGACGGCGGGATGTTCGACATGGGAGATGAATGCGAGTTGGGAGCAGAAGACGAATCCGAGATTGCCAAGCGCAAGGAGGAGCTCAAGGCCTCCATGCAAAAAGTCGCCGCCCAGCTCTTCCAGGAAGCCAAGCAGAAGTGCGACGCCACCAGGGCCGCCCACGAGGCGCAGAAGCAGAGGCTCAAGGCCAAGCGGCCCCGTGCAGAGTCTGCTCTTCCTGGGGGCCGTGCTGCTGGCGCTGCAGGCGGCGACGACGGAACTCAGGCCTCATGGGGGCCACCCAAGCGCCGAGCCCGCCGCCACCCCGGGTGCCCCCTCAGGGGCAACAGTCGCCGCCGACGCCACCTCCCAGCCCCGGCCCAACGCCAAGGAACGGGCTGCCGCCGTCCTGGCGGGCAAGGGCGCCAGCAAGGGCAGTGACGTCAAGCAGCGCGGGTAGCACGCAGCCAACGCCACCTGCAAGAACACGTCGGGTGCGTTTCCTAAAGCACCCCAGCTACCACTACTTTGAACCAGAGGCTGATGATGCGCGGCGCCCAGGGGCCCGACACTAACTACAGCATGATCAGACCCACAAGTTTAGAGAAGGTGCGGCTCATTCATACAGGGGGAATGAGAATACCCAACAGGACCTACTAACACCAGATAAGGGCCTCCCACGTCGCCGCAGATGGGGGAAGGCCTACTCTACGACATACACGGGACCAACCTCGAGCTGCACCAGGTCGTCTACTGGTCCATCCTTGACGAGCGGTGCACTCACGAACCCAATGGGGTCGCAGAGGTCGCCACACGAAGTTCCTAGACACCTCCCCCATCTGGCCCGCTCCTCGGGGATGGGGGCACGGTCAACCCAGATGCGGAGGACATCATCGCAGAGGGCGGCTGGTTCCTCTGATATCGAGAATGCGCCTCCACCTACAGCTAACATAACGCCAACCGATAACACTGCGCCGCAGAAGGAGACGGGTGGCAAGCACAGGAGGACCAACATGGATGACGAGGATGATCTATTCGACCAGCTCGAGGATCAGCATGAGGTCCAGGGTGGATGGCCAGCAATCATGCGAGAAGACGACCCACCCGAACCCAAGCAGTCGGATACCCAGGAGGTGGAGCCCGACAGTCAGGCACCCCTGGAGAACAACCGAGTGGGAGTACCTCAGGCCCCGCAGCCAGGGGACCTCAAGCAAAGACGAATGACGTTATTTTCGATTTCAGTAATTACACCAAGTGGGCCGAGCTGGACCAGAAGTATATCGGGGAGCTTCGGTACAAGCACCAGATCCACATCCAGATGGGAGCAGCGACTCATCTTCGGGGGGGGGGGGCAATATCACGCAGCTGCTCGACATCTTCGGCGAGACCACTGGCAGGTGGAAGGCCGTGGAGCTCGAGCCGCTGAAGTAGGAGGCCAGCTTGGGCACGGAGGCGCGCGGGTTATGATCTCTTCCCACCTTTGTCTCTCGCCCCCATCCGCCTTCGGCAAACTAAGTGGCCCACCCCGGCCCAGGGCCAGGGGCAGTGGGCCGCCCGGGAGCTGCGCATCCACGGGGCGAACATCCCGTTTATTTCAGCCGACTTTGCCGAAGGGGGGGGGGGGGGGGGGGGGGCTCGCTGGGTCCAATATGGAAATGATGGAGGAGATATCCTGTAAGATTCTGGCCCTGGGTATTCCTTTCATCTGGTCTGCCGATTGGAACATGGAGGTCGACCAGGTCAGGACTTCGGATATCGAAAACTACCTAGGGGCCGCGTTCGCGTTGCCCCAAGGGGCCTAGAGGCAGTTCGGGAAGAAGGTTATCGACTACCTCTTGGTCTCCAGGCCCCTCCTCGAAGACCTCTCTCTTGAATGCGATTATCGCGTGCCGTGGGCTCAGCCGCGCATCGGCCTCGTAGGTGAGCCCCGCAAGTAGTGCGTCTCCAGGGACATGCAGGTGTTGGTCGAGCCCCCGCCGCTCCCGCTCGGGTTCCAGGGGCCGACGCTTCCGTGGGCCGCTTTCGTTTAAAGTAATCAGGGACTGGTCGAACAAGCCCCAGGACCGAAGTGCAACACCGCAGCTGCCTGTGCCTCTACTGCAATACCCAGGCAGCACGCAGTTTTTTCTCCTGCAGCGGAGGCGCTGCATCTTTCTAAGCGCGGCGACCCTGCTCGGCCTGTTCGCCGCCATCGAGGGCGGGCGCCGCAGCTCGCCACCAAGCTAGCAGCGCCTGCAGGACCATCTTCGCGAGCAGGCAGCACCGAGCAGCTTGCCTTCTGGAAGGCGATGGTCGCGCGCCCCCAGGACCTCATCGGGGCTACCGCCGGGAAGGACTCAGAGGGCAAACAGCGCAGGAGGCTCCACTTCGGGTCCCTCATACACTCCAAGGTTACTTCGGCTGCGCCCTGCATGACCCCCTCGGAGGCCCATGAGGTTTTCCAGGAGTTCCTGCTGGGGGGTGAGAACATCCACGACCTAGACCCCGAGGGGACTCGGACCACGGCTCGGCTCTGCAAGTGTCTTCGGGACCAGGCCGACAAGCTCGCCTACCAGGCCAAGAAGAAAGGATTCCAGGAGCGGCTCCAGGAGAGCTTAAAAGGGGGGGGGCAAATGGGCTCATTACCACACCAGGACCTGGGGCCTGCCAGAGCCCGCGCCCAAGATCGAAGTGGACGACTCTGGAGCCTCACTCTGGGAAGCTAGTGAATCGCTGAAGGTCAAGGCCCACAGGTGGAAATCTCTTTGGACTGGCCCACAGAGGCATGGACGGGCCGTTGAACAGGGCTGGTGGCAAACCTTTCGTGACGAGGCGCTCGAGGCGATGCGCGACTTGCCGCCGCTCGATCCTCAACATCTTTTAAATGTACGCAAGTGCCTCCTTGCCAGCATAGGCAAAGGAGCATGCCAGTGGCACCCACGGCTGTGGGCGGATCTCCCAGAGGATGGCCAAACTGCCCTGCTCGACTTGCCTGTGTCGATCGAGGCGGAGTGCAGATGGCCAGCCCAAGTTTTACTCAACGAGGTAGGCATGCACCCCCAAGCCCACAGGTGAAGGAGACCGCCCTATTACCTGCACCCAGAGCCTCTACCGTGTTTGGGGCCGTCTTCGGAAGGACCCCATCTCCCAATGGGAAAATCACGTGCTGGCTTCTGGGACGCTGCAGTCAAAGGTTCCGATCCCCTTCGTGCTGCCCTGCTTCGCTTCGCCCGAGCCGAAGCTGCCTCCTGTATAAATTGCGATTGGTCCCTGGTGCTCCTGGACGCCGAAAAGTTTTTCTACATCTTGGCACCCTTCTGGATTCATTGTCTTGGGAAGCAGCTGGATTACCCCATCGGTATCATGCACCTAGGCATGGCTTTGCACTGAGCTGGCCGAGTCCTAACCATCGGACCAGCGGCCTCTGACTTTCTGTCAGTAGATCGTTCCATTTTGCAAGGTTGCCTTCAGTCAGTTGCTTGGACTACGGCCTACCTATACGACGTGATGGAGACGACGCACGCTAGGTGCCGACCCCTCGAGCTCAGTACGTGGGTGGATGACATTAGCATGCAGGTCAGAGGCCCCAGGCTCATCGTCCGTAACCTAACCATTTCTGGAAGCAAGGCGCTGGTCCAAGTTATGCGATCCAGAGGTTTGAAGCTTTCGCCCAAGTCGCAGGTGCTCGCCAGTTCAGAGGACCTGCTCAAGCATATTCACCAAGGCCTCAAGGATGCGGGCGTCGAACTGCAGGCAGTTGCCAAGGCTCGCGACCTCGGCCTCGATTTTTCGTTTCAGAGACGCTCGGCCACGGTGGTCGGAGCAAGGATGAAGAAAGCCAAAGTCCGAGCCAAGCGAGTTAGAGGCATCTCCAAGGTTGAAAGGAAGGCTTCCAAGTTGGGGCCCACCGGTGTCAAACCTCAGGCCTCGTGGGGCCTCGCTGGACAAGGTGGGCCCCCCACGGTGCTCAAGGACCTCAGGACCACCATGGCCTCCATCTCGGGTGAGCAGAGGTCGGGGGGGCGCGCCGCGCTCGCTCTTGGGCTAGGACCAGGGAAGAAAGGAGGCCCGCTTTTCTTCGGGCGCATGGACCTCTTGAAGACCTGGATCGCCATCCCCCCCATGATGATGCAAGAAAGAGTGGCCCTGGAGGCTGCGTGGAAGAAGTGTCTAGCCGCCATGCGTGCGGCCGCTAGTCCATGGAACAAGGTCCGAGGTCCCATCGGGGCCGTTATTACCACCCTCCTACAGGCCAACTGGGATCCCAAGCTACCATGGGCCTGGACCGACTACGCTGGCGGTACCTTTTATTTTATCCCTGGAGAAGCTCCCGTCGACAGGGCCCCCTTCTACCTCGAGGCCCTCTCAGGGCCCCCTGCTGGCTGGACACACTGCGTTGCCTCGGAGCTGGAGGCCACTTTCGAGCTCCGCATTTGGCAGGAGCACGCGTGCAAGCACTTCTGCGGGAAAGGCCTTGAGGAAGTCTCCAGATGATGAAGAAAAGCAGAAGTGCAAGCTGCGCGGCCAGCCCGAGACCATTTTCCACCATCGGTGGGGATGCTCTCAACTTCAGGCGTCTGAAGGCGCGGCCTTCGACCTGGCTGGCCAAGCCGCTGCCGAGCATGAGGATTACCCGTGCTTCTGGTCGCGCGGACTGGTACCCTTAGGCTGGGCGTGCAGAATATGCGACCACTGGTCCGTCCGACTTTCGGTTCTCCTCCGACGGGGCACTCCACCGCCAACAGCGGTTCCAGCTACCTCCCCAAGCAGTAGTAGGCTCTGACGGCAGCGGGGGGGGGGGGGGGCTTTCCTCGGACGTAAGGTGTCGGCGCTAGGGGTGGGGTTTCGCGGTGGCCTGCCAATGGCAAGTCCTCGGGAAAGCCTGGGCCCCCTTGGTGGGCCGCTCCCACTCGGTCCCGCTCGCTGAGCTAGAAGCTGTGGCCCAAGCCCTGCGCCACACAACAGGTCCAGGGAAAATTGAAAACAAAGAAGCCGACTACGTTATAGATGGCGTAGCTCGGGCCCCCCAGCACACCAGCCCCTCGAACTCGGCAGCCTGGGCCCGTTTTTGGGCCGCTGTCCAGGGGCGCCCAGGGGGCCCCGAGTTTTGCAAAGTTAAATCACACCTGTCCCGTGCTGATATCGGGCGCCTCGTGAGCGAAGATGATTTTGCGGCGAATGAGGCGGCCGATTTTGCGGCCGACCTCGGCGCGAAGGAGGCCGCGCTCCCCCCCCCCCCCCCCCCAGACTCTCGCCGACCTCGCCGCCCTAGATGCCTTGGCTTTTTAAGGTTGCCAAACATCTCCTCACGGTCGGCCTCGAGGAGGCCAAGGCCCGAGCTGAAGACGCCAAGGCAAACCCTGGGCCCTCTTTTGCCGAACGAATTGCGGCCCAGCGAGTGAAGCGACTCGACAAGAGAGTTGAGACCGCTGCCGCTGCAGCAACTACCTCCCGCAGGCCCGTCCCGTGGCGAGGTGGATTGCGTTGCGTGGTCTGCCTCCAGCCCCCCTCTCGGGCCCTCCCTGAGCTCGAGTGGCTCCGCGCATCCTGTCCAGACCGCCCAGCCCAGATCCATGCCAGCCACCACCTCCGTAACGCCAGGGGGGCTGTGGTGGTGCTCCACGTGTGGAGGGTCAGGGCATATTAAGCTCCTTTCCCTCAGTAAGGCTTGCATGCCCCCGACGAAAGCAGGGAAAACTGCCCTGGATCGTCTCGAGCGAGATAAGCTTCCTCCAAAGCGGGCCTCGTGGCCAGATGCGTCGCGAGGATAGCCGTCTCTTGTTATTCCTTTTTGGGCCCCCCCTGCAAGTAGAGGATCACGCCCCCTATGAGCGCCCCAGGAGGAGGATATGGAGGAGGATGAGGAGGAAAAGGAGGAGGAGGCGGAGGAGGAGGAGGAGGAGGCGGAGGAAGAGGAGGAGGGAGAAGGAGGAGGGAGGAGGGAGAAGGAGGAAGAGGAGGAGGGGGGGATGGGCAGTAGGAGGAGGAGGAACGGGGGGGAGGAAAAGAAGTGCGAGGCCGAGGCGGAGGTGGAAGAGTAGGAGGAGGACCAGTATAAACGCAAGATTGTTGAACGATGTTGGAGTGTACCCTCCCGACAAGGTTCCTCTTCATAGGCCCTTGCAGGCATTCGTTCCATGGGGGGAAGTACGTACCCCGTTGGGAGAGAACCGCTTGAAAATCCGGAGGCGTGCCAAAATACCAGTCTCAAGTATTCAACGCCACGTATCACCCAGACTGTTGCGTCTTGACGACCCTGAATCGTGCCAGGGCACCGCTTCTGGGACGTCAACACTTCGAATAAACCTACCTGATGCGCCCTGGCAGCCCTGAATCGCTCCTGAGCACCATTTCTGGCACGCTAGCTATGAGAACTCGTGAAACTCTTGTACATGCGATTAAGACGAATGCGCGCGGCGCAAAGGCGAGAGCTACATTCCGAAAAAGGAACGGCCTTCGATCCATGAAGCTTTTGCACATGTCAACGACGAATGTGCGCGGCGCTAGGTGAGATCCACAGTTTGAAAACGACCTGCCGTCAATCCGTGAAACTACTGAGACGAAGGTACGCGGCTCTCAGACAGGGCGATAAGCACATGTCGAAAATGGCACGCCCTCAAGCCGTGACACCGCTGCCAAGTTCAAGTTTCGGGACCATGAACGGTAAGGAAGTCTCAGGCGAAACGCCCAGCCCGCCTTTCCGATTGGCCTTGGTGTGCGACGGGGGGAAAAAATCAGAAGGAAAGAATTGGAGGAGAAGGTGGAGGAGGAGGAGGCTTCAGAGGGACAGGAGGCAATAACGGGGCCCGAGGGGAGGTGGAGGCAGAGGAAGTGGAGGAGGAGGCGGAGATAGGAGGAGGAGGAGGAGGAGGAGGAGGAGGAGGGGAGGAGGAGGAGGAGGAGGAGGAGGAGGAGGAGGAGGAGGAGGAGGAGAGGAGAGAGGAGAGAGGAGAGAGGAGAGAGGAGAGAGGAGGAGAGAGGAGGAGGAGGAGGAGGAGGAGGAGGAGGAGGGAGGAGGAGGAGGAGGAGGAGGAGGAGGAGGAGGAGGAGGAGGAGGAGGAGGAGGAGAGGAGGAGGAGGAGGAGGAGGAGGAGGAGGAGGAGGAGGAGGAGGAGGAGGAGGAGGAGGAGGAGGAGAGAAGAGGAGGAGGAGGAGGAAGAGGAGCAGAGGAGGAGGGAGGAGGAGGAGGAGGAGGAGAGAGGAGGAGGAGGAGGAGGAGGAGGGAGGAGGAGGAGGGGAGGAGGAGGAGGAGGAGGAGGAGGAGGAGGAGGAGGAGGGGAGGAGGAGGAGGAGGAGGAGGAGGAGGAGGAGGAGGAGGAGGAGGAGGAGGAGGAGGAGGGAGGGGGGGCCAGGCGAGGCGCGGAGGGGCGCGGCGCGGGAACCTTCTTGCCGCCCTCCCGGCCTCCTGGCCCGAGCCTTTGCTGGCCGTTGCGGCCAAAGCCCTTTTGGGCCTGCGCGGCGCGCGCGCGCACCGAGGCCATGCGCGGGCTTGCGGCGCCCTCTCCGCGGGGCCCGGGCGCGGCGGTCGGCGCGCGCCCCTCGGTGGCACGCCCGGGGGCGGCGTCGGGGTTCTCCGTCCCCAGCTCTGGTGCCGTTCTTCATCACCCCGCGACAACGGCCGTTACTGGGGGGGGCAGGAGGGGGGGAGGGGGGCAAGGGAGCTGGTCTCGTCACGATTTGCGCCAGCGCCGCGCAGGGATGAGTCCCCCCCCAAAAAAAACAAACGGCGACGGCGCGAACCGTGACGCTACCAGGTGGGGGGAGCATCCCTGGTAACGGCCGTTATCGCGAATCGGATTGAACCTCCTCAGACGCTCTCGCCGCCACGACCGGATGAGCCGGGAGATCCAGGAAAGGGCGTGCTCCAGGACAGGGGGCTCCAAGGGGCGAGTGCCCGGCGCCACGGAACAATCACGACACCATCAGACAACGGCTCGCGACGAAACGTCGGTCTTGGGGACGGTCAGGAATTTTGGCTTAGCGTGTCGTTCCGCTGGTTCTGGCCCACCGTGCTTAGGCGTGACATGCTATCCACATCCCAGGTCCCGAGCCGTTCCTTCCGAGCCTCCTGCCCCGCGGAGCGGAGCGACTCTCGGGATAGCGTGTCGCCGGGGCCGCCGCAGCGACACGCTATCCCAAAGTTCCTGACCGTATGACTTCATCGGCCGGAATTTTGTTACTCCATGTCGGCTCCTTTGGCCTGACTCCAGATCCGCCGGTGTTCGCAGGTGGCGCAGAGACTTCCACCCTACTTATTTAGTGTTGTTTTTTGTGTGTGTGCCCTTTGTGCCGTCGCAGGAGTAGTTACTTGGAAGTGCTGCGATCATGAACAGCGGCCTGGCCGCAGCGTGGCCCCAGGAGACCTGAGGCCTGGGACCTCAGGAGAGCTCCAGGGGGCGCAAGAGGGCTGCGAGAGGATATCCCGGCAGTGGAGTCCAGACGGCCCCCCTTGGATGCCACTGTATGGGGGCTCTCTTGTGGCCCTCTTGGGGCTTTCTTGGGACTTTCTGTGGCCCCTCTTGGGGTGTTCCTGCGAAGTCACGATGGCGTCGTAGAAGCTCAGGGGAAAGGCAAGAAGGCGGCCCGACAGTGGCGCTCAGACGGCTCCTTTGGATGCCACTGTCGGGGGATCACATCGATCTCTTCGGCCTTCCTTACGCCCCTCTTGGGGCGCTCCTGGGACTTCAGGGGCGTCGGAGAGGCCCAAGATAGCCGCAAGAGAGCGCCCCGATAGTGGCGTCCAGACGGCCCTCTTGGATGCTACCGTCGGAGGGGTCTCTCTTTGGGCCCTCATGGGGCTCTCTTGGACCTTCCTCGGGCCCGTCTCAGGGCGTTCCTGGGGCTGCGGGGGGGCCTCGGAGGGATTCGAAAGAGCCGCTAGAGGGCGGCCCGACTTTGCCACCCAGAGCGCCCTCTTGGATGCCACTGTCTGAGGGCTAGGGAGGGCTCTGATGGGGCCCTCTTGCGACACCTCCAGCGCCGAAGGCTCCGAGTGAGAGTCCTCGGCTCTCCTCTGAAGATGGGCGCCCTGGGGGCGGGGGGAATGTCTGGAGAATTCTCCATTTTCCCATGAAGAATGTCCAGGGGAATTCCATGTATAATTTCGGAGAATTTCTGGACAATTGTTGACGTCCCTCGGACCCCGTAATTTTACACTGATGGTGGCCCTCAGAAATTCACTAAGAATTCTCCTTGGTTTTCTCTCTGATTTTTCCCGTGCAAGGTTGGCCATGAGCGGAAAGGCCCAAACGTGAGGCGTTTTGCTGTTCCTTGCGAGATTGAGGAAATCGGTCGCCCGATACCCTTCGCGGAGAGCCTCGGGCCCGCTCGCAGAGGGGTGCGCTTCCTTCCACCAAGGGCTCCGCTGGACGAATCCAGCAGCGCCGCGTTGGTCACTCTGCGCCAGCGGCACGCCGTCCGCGACGGACACTTTGCAACTCCTGCGCTGGAGGCGCGACCTCCGTGACAAGCGTTTTGCTTGATTCGCCTTGGAAGCACACCACCCGCGACGGACGGCGTGCCCCCCTGGGAAAGAGCGCCCCCGGCAGGGTCCCAAGCTTGTCCCCAAGCGGGCCCGAGGTGGCCTTGGGTGCCGTCGGGAACTTTTCTGGCGACCGAGCGGGGGGCTGTTCGGCCCCGAAATCTTGCCCCAAAACGGTCGCAGTTGTCCGGGGCCTGTCCACGTCTCCTTGAGACCTTTCTGGGGGGGCGCGTATTCCGTCGGCGAAAACGCAGGACGCCGCGGCGATGGTTGGGTGGGTGGTCCATCGCCGCGTACTCGCAGGCCATCGCGCTGCGTATTCGCGGTCCCACAACGGCTCTTCATGCGTTTGGGCCCTTGAGCATCTTCGCCCCTGTGTGTTGCGCGCAAGCGAAGCGCGCGCCGCCCGTGGAACGTCGGGCGAGCGCTGTGAGTGCCAACTCGCGTTGAACTAGACGTCGGCGCCCCAGCCGCGCAGCGATCTCGCCCCTGCACCTCGAGATAGCCCAAACGTTTCCGATGCCGCCCCCTTTATGCATATTCGAGCGGGAGTGTTGTATTGAAAGTTGGGCAGGGCCTCGGCCAATTGGGGTGATCTGATGCGCGTGCTGCTCCATGAACTCGTTCTTGTCGTTTGGCGAAGCATCAACTGAGGACCTCTGGTGAGCCAGCGCGATGATTTGGGGCTGCTTACATCTTACAAGGAATCCAGGTCAGGTTCCCTGAGATGTGTTCACGTGGCAGCTCGACTTCGGCTCTTCGGGGGGCTGTGGGAATGGGGCCATATTGTCAGATCTGTCGAGTGCCGACAGACCACCACTACATCTGATGGACCCTCGAAGACAGACGTCGTGCAGAATATGACTCAACGCGACTACAGATGGGTGGGATGTGCCGTTGTCTGTCTGCGTCGGTTCGCAGCACCATGCGATCCTTACATGGCTGCGAGGAGTGCCACGAACTGCGCGCTCGCGAACCGTCGATCATTGGCTCCCACACCGACTGCCGAACAATACCCACCAGGGCTCACTTTTCCTCATCCCTTTTTCTCGGTCGGGTGAATGATTGCAGGGCCGTGGTCCTGTGCGGCCAGGACAAATTTCTATCTTGGAGACGAAGGGCAAGTGGGGCAAGGGATGCTGAGGTCACGACCTCCGCCTTGCTTGCAACCTTTCTTGCAATACCCCAGTTGTTAGAATTGCACATTTGCCTGTTGCGCCTAAAGCGGTAATATTGGAATTCGATGGGGGGAAGGTCTATTATTGTCCTGGTTGATACCCCCGTTTGCTTTTTTCGTCGGCTGCATTTGATAGTGACCGCTGGTCCTGCGTCGCCTCATTGAGCTCGCGCCAGTTGGCGTTGAGCATGTTTCCATGGTTTGTCTCTTGTGGCCTGCTCTTGCTCCTGCAGCGTTTCCCCTTCGCCCTCGTTCCAGTCCATATGCGCGCTTCGACCTTCCTCCCGCATCGACCGACCGACCGACCAGCCGACCGATGATGATGACGAGGAGGAGGAAGGAGGAGGAGGAAGAAGAGGAGAAGGAGGAGGAGGAGGAGGAGGAACCTTTCGACCCGATCCGACAGGCAGCCCCAGCGGTCGTCGGCGCCACGGCGCCGGCGGCGCCGGGCGGCGCCGCTGTTCCGGCGCGGGTGGCACCGCGCGCTGCGTGTTCGCGGCAAGCGGCGGCGGCGGCGCCCGCCGCTTGTTGCGCGTCGCTTGCTGGGGCAGCCGTCGCGCGGAGGCCTCGATGGGGGGGGGGGTTGGAAGGGTTCCTCCTCCTCCTCCTCCTCCTCCTCCTCCTCCTCCTCCTCCTCCTCCTCATGTTCCTCCTCCTCCTCCTCTTTCTCCTCCTCCTCCTCCTCTTCCTACTCCTCCGATTTTCGCGTGAGTCGTTCGTTGAGCGTTCGACGGGACTATGAGTATTGTTGTTTTGGCCTGGTGCATCGTTCTCGGCACACCTCGTCGTCATCCAGAGTCTCCAGAGCCTCTTCCTACTCTTCGTCTTCTTCCTCTTCCTCCAGAAGAAGGAAGGGAGAGAAGGAGGAACCCCTCCTCCCTCCTGGCTCCTCCCATTTCCCTCCTCCATACCTCCCTGTTCCCTCCTCCCTCCTCCCTGCTTCCGTTTCCCTTCTCCCTCCTCTCTCGCCCGCTCCTCACTCCTCACTCCTCACTCCTCCCTCTCTTCCTTCCTCCTCCCTCCTCACTCCCTCCTCCTCCTCCTCCTCCTCCTCCTCCTCCTCCTCCTCCTCCTCCTCCTCCACCTCGTCCCTCCTCCTCCTCCTCCTCCTCCTCCTCCTCCTCCTCCTCCTCCTCTCCCCTCCTCCTCCTCTTCCTCGTCGTCGTCCTCCTCCTCTTCTTCCTCCTCCTCCTTCTCCTCCTCTCCTGCTCCTCCTCCTCCTCCCTCCTCCTCCTGCTCCTCCTCCTCCTCCTCCTCCTCCTCCTCCTCCGCCTCCACCCTCCCTCACCCGAGCGGTAAGTCACTGTATTGGACTGCCCTCTGCCTCTCCTAATTGTCTCTCCCCGCCGCTGCCGTTTGTTTTTCTAGGGGGCCTGGAGACTGCAGTCTCCGCGCCCGTGATAGACTCGTCTTATTTCCACCCGTGCTATTCTGGATATTGTACAAACCTTACGTCCTCATTCTTAGTTGGTGGCGGAGCTTCGGTTCCCTTCTACGCTTCACCATGGCCTGCAGGGCATCCCCTCGCCCCCTTGCTTCGATGTCGAGGGCTCCACCATTTCACATTGCCATACAATCTGGGCAAGTGGACCTCACCAATCTGGACAACTGCGGCGGTCCAGCTGCGCCGACCCGCGCTGGTCCGTCCTCTTGTGGCCCTTTTGGGCCCTCTTGGGAGCATCTTGGGCCGTCTTGAGGCAATGTTGGGCCGCCTTGGGGCCATCTTGGGCCGTCTTCGAGGCATCTTGGGCCATCCTGGTGCCCCTGGTCGCCCGCATGGACCGTCTTGGAAGCTCGGGACGCGGATCCATCGTTTTTGATCGATGGATCGTGGAGTCTGGAGCGCGAATTCATGTTTTTTTTGCGAGGCATCTTGGCATCAGGAAGGGGGTGGTGCATGCGGTGAGACGCTGGTAGAGGGAAGGGGGGGTCCCTTCTCAGAATAGAGAAACCCCACCAGGCAGCCCTTGGAAATCCTACCAGGCAGCCCTTGGCATTCTTCCACGCCTCAGCGTGCACAAGGCACGGTGGCGGATCCGCCCTACCTCTCCGAGGCGAAAATTTCCGCCATCGCCTCTTGGTATGAATTTCCGACAGGATCAACCCAAGTACGGCGGATCCGGGGTCTGGGTCGCGATTCCTTGATAGCGTTTCGCTAGAGGGTTTTAATAACATTAAACAGGGACCACAGAAGAGTCCCACAGGGGGGACTTGGGACCCTGACCGATTAGTCTGGCAACCGTTTCGCTTGAGTTGTTTCACCATGTATTCAGGAATCGTGCTCTCGCCTCAATGCCGGTTGCAGTTGTTGGGACGGCCGCGATCCATTGTTGCACAACATACATTAAGGTGCACATGATCGTGCTCTCACTTTTGTCCTGGCTGTATCTTTCGTGGGAATCCGTAGGAATAAATAGGAATACGCGTTTTCATTTGCCGATTTCCCACTCCTCGACCCGCCTCTTCAAAAGTGCTGCCATGAGGATGCTCTGCTGGGGAAGTCGGTGGCCCCCAGCCCGATCGTGGCCCCCGAAGGCCGACACCGAGGAAACACCCGCCGCTTGCAACACTCCTCTGCGACGAGAGGAGGCGGCGGCGGCGGCGGCGGCGGAGGCTGCGTGAAGACAAGGGGGCGGCGCGGCCGCCCCTCGGGTCCCGTCCCCCAACGCTCGCACTCTGCACAGGGGGGCCAGGCGGGACGGACGGGCGGGGAGGGAGGGCAAGGCTCGCCGCCCTGCCGCCCGAGGCAGCGGCGGCGGAGCGGCCGGCGGGCGGCCTCGCGGGTGCCGTGCCGCTCGACCGGCGCGCCCAAGCTCGTCTCGGTGCTGTCCACGCAGAAGGACTGGCGGGCCGCCGCGGCGGAGGCCGCGCGCCTGCTCGTCCGCCTCCTCGGCCGCCTCCTCTGCCTCTGCCACCGCCTCCTCCACCTCCTCCGCCTTGTCCACTTCCTCCTCCTCCTCCTCCTCGTTCCACCTCCATCCTCCTCCTCCTCCTCCTCCTCCTCCTCCTCGTCCTCGTCCTCCGCCTCCTCCTCCTCCTCCGCCGCCGCCGCCTCCCCCTCCCCCTCCTCCACCGCCTCCACCTGTGCCTTTTCCCGATTTAACTGCTCCGCGCCGCTCCTGGGGTTTGGCGGGTCGATGAAACTGCTGCGGGGAAGCTCGGTTGAACTGCTTTGGGGAGGCTCGATTGAACCGCGAAGATCGATTCAACTGGATATGGGCCGCCCTGAGGGTTCGATTCAACTGTTCTGGGCCGCTCTGGGTTTCGATCTGATTGCTCCGTGGAGGCTCGATCCCACTGCTCCCAGGAAGCTTGATTCAACTGCTCCGGGCCGCTCCGGGGGCTCGATGCAACTGCTCTAGGCCACGCTTGGGGTTCGATTTGATTGCTCTGGGGAGGCTCGATTCGGTTGTTCCAAAGAAGCTCGATGTCACTGCTCGGGGCCGCTCTGGGGATTCGATTTAATTGCTCTGCGCCGCTCCAATGGTTCGGCGGGCCGATGAAACTGCAGCGGGGAGGCTCGGTTGAACTGCTCTGGGGAGGCCCGATTGAACCGCGAAGATGGATTCAACTGCATATGCGCCGCCCTGGGGGTCAATCTGATTGCTCCAGGGAGGCTCGATTCCACTGCTCCGGGCCGCTCTGGGGGCTCGATACAACTGCTGCCGGGAGGCTCGAACTAACTGCTCGACTTAATTTCGGTCTAACTGTCTGGGACGTTCCAGGGGTTCCATGTAACTGCTCTGGGGAGGCTCGATTGAATTGCTCCAACGGGTTTAACTGCTATGGGCCGCTCCCAGGGTTCGATTGAACTGCTCTCGGCCGCTCTGGGGGCTCGATTTGACCAATCCGGGGAGGCTCGATTTCACTGCTCCAGGGCAGCTCGATTTGACTGCTCTCGGCTGCTGCAGGGGTTCGCTGCTCTGGCGCGCTCGATTTTATTGCCGATCGATTTCACTTTCGGTCTCACTATTTATCTCACCTTCGGTTTCACTATTGATCTCACGATCGGCCCCACGATCGATTTCACAATCGATCTCAACGATCCATCTCACTATCGGTTCCACTCTTGATATCGCTACCGGTCTCGTTATCGATTTCACGATCGATTTCGCTATCGATCTCACCATCGATCCCACCATCGATCTCACTATCGATCTCATTATCGATCTCACGGGCTACGGGACACCACGGGACACCGCGGAACACCATCGGGACACCACGAGACACCATCGGGACACCATGCCGGGACACCATGCTGGGACACCACTGGATACTACAGGACATCACGGGACACGATCACGGGAAATCTCGGGACACCGCGGGACACCGCGGGACACCACGGGACACCATGGGACACCACAAGACACCATCGGAACTCCACGGCGGGACACCGCGGGACATCGCGGGACACCACGGGACACCACGGGACACCGTCGGGACACCATCGGGACACCACGGCGGGATACCGCGGGACTCCACGGGGTACAACGGGACACCACGGGACACCATTACGGAACACCACGGGACACCGCGAGACACCACGGGACACCATGCGACATCACGGGACACCATCGGGACACCACAGCGGGACACCGCAGGACATCGCGGGACACCACAGGACACTGTCAGTTCACCATCGGAACACCACGGCGGGACACCCCCGGCACGCCCGCCAGGCGGCCGGGAGGGAGGGGCGGACTTTGTTTTCGCCGCGCTCTAGCCAGAGAAGGGTTAACTTTTTGCGTCTGCCCATGCAGATTCGCCTCGCCCGCACGCACGACACGAGCCCGAAACCGAAACCGATCTCCTGGTGGAGGGCTCTCTGTTGCACTTTGATATCACCCCGCAACCTCCGATTCATAGCGGGCGTTGCACAAGCCTGCAAGAACATTTGAAAGCGTTACGGACGCGGCGTTCCGCGTGTCAGGTTGTAGTTGATGGCATCTTGTATCCAGCCTCTGCCGTCACTGCCCCGCCTGCCGGCCCTTCTCGAATTACTGCTGACCCTGCACCATTTCCGGTGCCAGCCCCTCTCGCACATTGCCAGCCCCTCTCGCACCATTGCCAGCCCCTCTCGCTCCATTGCCAGCCCCTCTCGCACCATTGCCAGCCCCTCTCGCACCACTGCCGGCCCATTTCGCACCACTGCCCTGATGGCCCATCTTGCACCACTGACGGTCTTTCTCGCATCACTGCCCGCCCTTCTCGCACAACTGCCCGCCCTTCTCGCACCACTGCTGGCCCGTCTCGTACTAGTGGCGGGCCTTCACGCACGATCGGACCGGCCCCAACACTGTAGCTGATGGCGTCGGGCTCGTGCTTCGCGGCCCCACCGTCGTAGCTGATGGTATCGGATTTGTGCTTCGTTGTGCCGCCCTCGAAGCTGACGGCGTCGGGCTCGTGCTTCGTGTGGCCTCCCCCGTAGCAGACGACCTTGGCCTCGTGTTTTGGCCCACCTCCCTCGCATCTGTCGCCGTCGGGTTCGTGTACTGCCGTCAGGGGCTGCTGCGCTGCTTCGTGCTTCTCAGCTCTCTGCGTTAGAGTGTCCCCCCTGTACGGGACGAAGTTGTCAAGGGTTGCTGCGCTTTCGTGTGTACGCGTGCTGTCTAAGCTTTGTAGCCCTCCTGGCTCGGTGCTTGAATTAGTGCTAAAACCTCCCCCTGCTTATCCTGCTTCTGCTGCTTGACACCTCGCCCCTGCTGCCACGATCCACGGTACTGCCACTGCGGCCACTGCTGCTTCCACTGTGGGCATAGTTCTTGATGGCTCCACGATTGTTCATCATCCCATCGTTCTTGATGATTCCACCAGCTTTCCCACTCGCCCAGCTGCGGCCTAAGATGGGTGACGGTGTCTCGAAGCTCTGTGATGATGATGATGCTTTGCCGATGTATCTTGTCGCCTGCAACTCTCTGGGCCGCTTGTTGTCTGGCCCTGCGCATGAGACGGGCCTGCCAGGCCCAGACACTGCCTGCCAGTGCTGCTGGTATGATCGGCTACGCCTGGTGCATGAGCACACCATGCCGAGACCGTTCCATGCTGGCTGAAGCGCCGACCCGGCCTCCAGCGGCCAGCGCGCTAGGGCCAGGCCCCCTAGGAGGTGGCGCGCGCGCGGGCGGGTGCTGCACCGGGGGCGCGTGCCGGGGCACCAGTCCCCCAGCGGGGGGGACCGCGGTTCGGGCCCCCGATGGCCGTTCCAATCCTTCTCCTTCTCCTCCTCCTCCTCCTCCTCCTCCTCCTCCTCCTCCTCCTCCTTCTCTTCATCCTCCTCATCATCATCCTCATCCTCATCCTCATCCCCCGCCTCTTCCTCCTCCTCGTCCTCCAGTCCTGTTCCTTATAGATAACTCCTCCCTGTCGCACCCCGAGGCCAGTTTTCAGGGCGGGCCGGGCGTTTCGCCTGAGACTTCTTCACCATTTATGATTCTGAAGCTTAAACAGTGACAACAGTTTCACAGATGGAGAGCGGGTCGTTTTCAAAATGTGATTCTCGCCTTAGCGCCGCGCACATTCACTTTCAAAAGTTGCAAGAGCTTCACGGACTTAGGGCGGGTCGTTTTCAAAATGTGGCTCTCGCCTCAGCGCCACGCACATTCGATTAAAACATCGACAAGAGCTTCACGGATTGAGGGCGGTTCCTTTTCAAATTGTGGCTCTCGCTTTAGCGCCGCGCACATTCGTTTCAATTTTTTAGGCAGTTTCACGGATTCCCATGATCAACGTACCAAACATGGTGTTTGGAAGGATTCAGGATTATGCGGGCGCAAGAGTTATGTTGATTCGCGGTGTTGAAATCAAAAAAAGGCGTTATGGCACGGTTCCGGATCGCCAAAACGCAGCAGTCCGATTGATACGTGGCGTTGAAATCCCGAGAGCAATGTTTTGGCATGCTTCAGGATCTTCAAACGGTTGTCTTCCATCGAGGCAGTTCCCCCAATGGAAATGAACCGTTGCAGGGGCCTATGAAGAGGGAGTTTGGAGGGATGGTTAATTCCAACATCGTTGATGACTCTTGGGTTTACACTGGTCCTCCTCCTCCTCCGACTCCTCCTCAGCCGCCTCCTCCTGCTCCGCCTCCTCCTCCTCATCCTCAGCTTCCTCCTCCTCCTCCTCCTCCTCCTCCTGCACCTCCTCATTCATTCCCCCTCCTCACCTCGACGCCCGCGGCCATTGCGGACCCAGCGGCTCTACGCGGGCCTCCCGCAGCCAGGCCATCCCTCTCGGCAGCCCCAGGTCGGCCTCCAGTTGAGACGGGCCTGGAAGGCGTGCCTCGGGCAGAGGCGGGTGGCGCCGCGGCGCACGTTCCGCTTCTGCCACCGCGTGCCCGAACCACCATTCGCGCCCGCTCTCTCCGGGCCTCCTCCACCTCTCCTTCCACCCGTCACGAGCCCTGCACCGCTCGATCGCTCGGTCGGCCGAGGGAGCGAACTCCCTCCCTCCCTCTATTATAGTCCTCCTCCTCGTCGCTCTTCTCCTTTTTCCCGCATCGTGAGCCCCCTCTTCCTTTTCCTCACATCAGTCCTCCTTTTCTTTTTCCTCCTCCTTCCCACCCATCCTACATGTGCGCATCAAGGTTCGAGGATCGGGGATTCTGATTTTGTTTAACGTTTCGCCCGTCTTGGGCCTCCGGAGGAAACCCTGGGCCTCTAGAGAACTCCAGGGACCTCGAGGGTTCCTCCTCCCCCGTCCCCCCATATGCCTTCTCCCCCTCCTTCCCTTCATCCTCCCTCTCCTTCTCCTCAGCCTTCTCCTCCTCGCATTCCTCCTCCCTCTCCTCCTCGTCCTCACCGTCCGTTTGTTTTTCTTCCTCCTCCTCCTCCTCCTCCTTCCTCCCTCCTCCCTCCCTCCTCCCTCCTCCCTCCTCCCTCTCCTCCTCCTCCTCCTCCTCCTCCTCCTCCTCCCCTCCTCCTCCTCCTCCTCCTCCTCCTCCTCCTCCTCCTCCTCCTCCTCCCTCCTCCTCCCTCTTCCCCCCTCATCATCATCATCATCATCATCATCATCATCATCATCATCATCATCATCATCATCATCATCATCATCATCATCATCATCATCATCATCATCCTCATCCTCATCCTCATCTTCCTCGTCTTCCTCAACCTCCTCCTCCACCCCAACCTGTTCCTCCTCCTCATCATCCTTTTAACGTTGCTCAGACTTTGGCTACGTGGCTGAAGCGTTCTTGCAGGAATCCTGGCGACGTACCCAACCCCTGCGCAGTGCAAGGCAGGAGTAGCTTGCGAGATTTGGTGAGAGGGCGGCGACGTGACATGGACGCATCCGCTTCTGCGAGCGGCATTCGGGAGGTTCGCAGGTCCCCGATCAAGGGAAAAGCGTGGTAGAGATGAGTATCTACGTGAACCCCTGAGTCACTAAAGCAAGAATCAAACGGAGAAGGCGGGCAACGGGCTTGAAACGTCAGCGGGGCGGCAACGACATGGCATGGCTTCCTCCAAAATTCCCACGCGACGACGCATGCGCGGTGCCTCACTCCGCTGGACCCATCAGGAGCCCACGAAAGTGGCGACAGTGTTGCAGATCGCAGCCCCCCAGGGGCGCAGATCGCAGCCCCCAGGGACGGCAAGGTCCCGCTCAGGTCTGCGCGGTGCCTCACTCCGCTGGACCCACCAGCAGCCCTCGAAAGTGGCGACGGTTTCGCAGATCGCGGCCCCCCAGGGACGGCGAGGTTTCGCTCAGATCTGCGCGGTGCCTCGCTCCGCTCGAACCACCAGCAGCCCTCGAACGTGGCGACAGTGTCTCAGATCACAGCCACCCCCCAGGGACGGCGAGGTCTCGCTCAGGTCTGCGCGGTGCCTCACTCCGTTGGACCCGCCAGCAGCCCTCGAAAGTGGCGACGGTCTGCAGATCGCAGCCCCCCAGGGACGGCGAGGTCCCGCTCAGGTCTGCGCAGTGCCTCACTCCGCTGGACCCACCAGCAGCCCTCGAAAGCGGCGACTGTGCCGCAGATCACAGCCTCCCAGGGGCGGCGAGGTCTCGCTCAGGTCTGCGCGGTGCTTCACTCCGCTGTACCCAACAGCAGCCCTCGAACGTGGCGACAGCGTCGCAGATCGCAGCCCCCTAGGGACGGAGAGGTCCCGCTCAGGTCTACGCGGTGCCTCACTCCGCTGGGCCCACCAGCATCTTTCGAAAGTGGCGACAATGTCGCAGATCGCAGCCCCCCAGGGGCGGCGAGGTCCCGCTAAGCTCTGCCCGGTGCCCCACGCCGTTGGACCCATCAACAGCCCTCGAAAGTGGCGACAGTGTCGCAGATCGCAGCCCCCTCCCAGGGACGTCGAGGTCCCGCTCAGGTCTGCGCGGTGCCTCACTCCACTGTACCCACCAGCAGCCCTCGAACGTGGCGACAGTGTCTCAGATCGCAGCCCCCCTTGGATGGAAAGGTCCGTTCAGGTCTGCGCGGTGCTTCACTCCGCTGGACCCACCAGCAGCCCTCGAAAGCGGGGACAGTGTCCCAGATCGCAGCCTCCCAGGGACGGCGAGGTCCCGCTCAAGTCTGCGCGGTGCCCCACGCCGTTGGACCCACCAACAGACCTCGAAAGTGGCGACAATGTCTCAGATCGCAGCTCCCCCCAGGGATGGCGAGGTCTCGCTCAGGTCTGCGCAATGTCTCACTCCGCTGGACCCACCAGCAGCTTTCGAAAGTGGCGACAATGCCGCAGATCGCAGCTCCCCCAGGGACGGCGAGGTCTCGCTCAGGTCTGCGCGGTGCCTCACTCCGCTGGACCCACCAGCAGCCCTCGAAAGCGGCGACAGCGTCGCAGATCGCAGCCCCCTCCCCAGGGACGGCAACTGGAGGCGGGAGGCAGGAGGTGGGAGGCGGGAGGAGGACGCGACCGCAGTGCTCTATTCAAATCGAATGCTTAACCGAGGAGGGTTGGGAAACAAAGATGACGAAACTGTCCGACTTGGCGCAGAGTGTACTTGGCGGACGCCGCGGAAAAGGAGGTGAAACAAAATGATGCGGCAAAGAAGGATACCTATAGTAGGCGCCCGACAGGTTGAGCAATGGACAGTTGTAGTACCTAGATAAGAGATCCTCCTCCTCCTCCTCCTCCTCCAACTAACCCGCCAGTAAGATAGTACCCAAGTCCCCCACCCCTTAGACTCACTGGTACGAGCTGTCTCGAGTACAGGTGCAACAGTAGTGCAGTACGACAGAACGCAAGTAAGTGTGGTGCGGGAACACCAGGGCGCGAGGTGGGGCGTAGGAAGAGGTAAGCAAGCCGCAACAGTGTTGACCAAGTAGTGGAGCGTGCTCCATGCGGCTGGGCAAAGAGGCTGCAAGTCAAGTAAAGAAGGTGGCGTTCGCCGCCAAAGGTAGTGAGCAGTCCAATCTTCTCCTCCCCACCACCTCGTGTACCCATATCACCCTCCATGCCACCCCCATGCCCTCCTCCTCCTCCTCCTCCGCCTCCTCGCGCGTGCGGCCCCTCGTGCGCGCTGGTCTGTGCCTTGCAGGTCCGTCCAGGCGCTTTGGAAGCTGACGCTTCTTGCCCCTCGTCGCCTGCTCCTGGCCGTCCGTTCCCTCTCTTGGCGAGCGTCATCCGCGTCCTGTCTTTTTCTTCCCCGTACTATAGCAGTCCATGCCTGCAGGGTCGCAAAACGGTGGGTGATTTGGTCGTTTACCTTCTGCTTTCGAGAAGCCACACGTCGCCCAGCGTGCTTGAGATTATTCTGGACCTGACTCACAGCGATTGGCGGTGTGGGAGCGGTGAAGAGGTGGAGTGGGCCACAGAAAGCTACCCCCTTCGGCTGAATGGCGCGTGGCGCTCCCCGGTCGTGCCGCGCGCCTTGTACAGACAAGGCCCTCGTTCGAGATATCCTCAAGATGAGCGCATGGTTGCGTGAGTGTGTGAGTGTGTGTCTGAGTGTGTGTGGAGGTGTGTGATTTGCGGGAGGTGCTGGCGATGGTGATGATGATGGTGGTGTTGATGATGATGGTGATGAATGAGTGAACGCAGCAGCGTACGGGTGTATGAATGTTTGAGCGCATGGGTGTAGAAAGACGAGAGGAGAGGGGGGTGAGGAGCAGGAGGAGGTTGCTGCGCAGGAGTGTCCAGAGAAAACAAGAACCTCACTCTGGATGTGGGAAGCAAGAGTTCGTTCCTGCCTCGGCGTTTCCTTGGTGGTTCGCACGGGGGGGGTCGAGGTAGACGGCCTTTGAGAAGGCGGGGGTGCTAAAAAAGCGATCCTGGAAGCCTCCAGGCCCCTCTAAGCAGGCCTCTGCGACCTACGAAGCTCCCCGCCTTCTTAGAAGGCTGCACCCCTCGTGCCACCCCCTCTCATTCGAGTCGCTCCTCATTCTTCATCCGCAGTGGATCAGGATACATAGTCTACCAAATTGCGCGCGCCGCCAACCCACCGGAGGTGACCGCGGAAGCGAAGTACCAGATACGCGGTTCTCCCGAGCAGGGCTACGCTTTCGGCGTCGCTCTCGTCCACGGCCACGGCACGGCGTCGGTCGCCGACATCGCCGAGAAGCTGGACGGCAATCTCTTGACCCGCGGCGCGCTGGTCGCCGCCGCAGTGGAGGGTTGCTATGGACTCGGTACCAGCCTCCTCGTACCCGCTTCCTCCTGCCCCCTTCCCTCGTCCATCCTGGTCCTTCTCCGTCTCCTTATCTTCCTTCTCACCGCGTAACTCATAACTCATCACGGGCATTATCATCACCACTTCCTCATCTCCCTCGCCACCGCCACCATCACCCTCACCACCAGCGCTTACCAGGGCTACGTCCACAGGCGGTGTGGTGCGATGGCCTCGAGGCGGCCCAGCAAGCTGCCCCATAATCGTCCGTTCTTTGCGCTGGCTTCCCTCGGACTCTTCTCCTTGCTCCCGCCTCCGTCTCCATCTCTCTCTCTCTCGCTCTCTTTCTTTCTCCGTCTCTGTTGCCCTGCGATGGATATTGTGCCAGAGTGTAGCGTACAGCCATGATTGCTCGGTGCCTTGCGTGCCCTCTGATCAGATGCGGCTGTCCTCCCGCCCCTGGAACTGTAACATCATCGTCCTTATGGCCTCATTGCCACCATCCTCACCATGTTCATTGTTGTCACAAGCACCCCTTATCATCAGCATCATCAACATATTCAGCATCATCAACACCATCAACAACATCATCATCAAGATCATCATGTTCATCATCATGTTCATCATCATCATCACCATCAGCAGCATCACCACCATCATCATCATCATCATCATCATCATCATCATCATCATCATCATCATCATCATCATCATCATCATCATCATCATCATCATTATCATCATCACTGACATCATCATCACCACCATCATAATCATCATCAGCATCCTCATCATCAGTGTTTCCATCATCTCATCCTCCTCACAATTAGCATCAGCATCCTCAGAATCATCATCATCACCATCATCATCACCATCATCATTATTATTATCAACCTCGTCCTAATCCTCATCATCATGGTCATCATAATCATGATAATCATCACCATCACCATCATCATCATCATCATCACCACCACCACCATCATCATCATCATCACCATCAGCAGCATCACCATCATCATCATCATCATCATCATCAGCATCATCATCATCATTATTACATCATCATCATCATCATCATCATCCTCCTCCTCCTCCTCCTCCTCCTCCTCATCATCATCATCATCATCATCATCATCATCATCGTCATCGTCATCGTCATCGTCATCATCATTATCGCCAGCAGTAGCTTGGACCCTCGAGTGCGTTGTCACCAGGCAGGCGACCAGCACCTCCAAGCAACTCCATGAGGCAATGAACGCTGCCATCAGTGCCGTCCAGACGTCTGCGGTCTCGGCGCCGTCGGCTGCCGCCGTCGGGCGCCGTCGGGGCTCCGCAGGGCTCCGCCGTCGGGGCGCCGCCGGGCCTCGTCGGGCGCTGCTGGGCCCAAACTCGCACAGTCCGCTCCGGGGGCATCCCTCCGGCGTGCAGCGCACCGCCCACCACGCGATGAAGAGGGAGATCCACCCCCGGCGACGCACTCATGGCCCGCTTGCGCCTCCATTCGCCCGGCGCCCTCGACGACATCAACAGAGCCGGCTTCACGAACCTCCTGAACGTCATGAAGAAGAGCCACGTCCGGATCACTTGCTCCTGCTTCAAGACGTGGATGGGGGAATGGACGACGTCTGCGCGCCTCCACGAAGTTGTTGTTCATCCGTGCCTCTTCGGCTGTTCCGCCAGGGACGAGTGGACACACTATGCCGATTGCCTCCTGCTCTGGGCTCTGGTCCACCGTGTTCAGCCTTGTGGAGAGGCATCCACCGCCAAGGCGTTTCGACACGCTCGCCATGAACGCGAAGACGTCCGAGGAGTTAAAGACAACTGTCATTGCATTCGAAACGTACCACAAGATGAAGCAATCGCACCTCAGCGACACACTCTGGCATTTACAACTGCGACAGCATGATGAACTTATTGGTTTGATGGATCGCCTCGCGCATGCGGCAGCGCGCCTCTGTCGCTAGAGCGTGACGTCGCGCCGCAACGCTACAGGCATCATCGCCAGTAGTATGATCAATACCAGCATCATCGTCGTCATCGTCATCATCGTCGTCATCATAAGCATCGTCATCATCATCGTCATCATCAGCATCGTCATCATCATCGTCAGCATCAGCATCGTCACCATCACCGTCAGCATCAGCATCGTCATCATCACCACGATCGTCAGCATCATCATCACCTCATCGTCTTGCTGTTTTCTCTCATCCTCATTCTCCTGCTCTGACCCCTTCTCCCATTCCTCCTCTTTGTCCTCCTATACTTGTTAAATTTATATGTCCCATGTTCCTTCTTCCTCGTTCCTCTTCCTGTCTTTTCATCCCTCTTATCTTGCTTCCAGCTCCTCATCCACCTCCTTCCGCTTCTCTTCATTCTCTCGTATCTTCATCCTCGTCCCCCTTTCCCTCACCCTCATTGTCCCTCCTCTCTCGTTGTCGCTTCTCGTCCCTCCTCTCTCGTTCTCGTCCCTCTTTGCTCCTTTCTCCTCCTCCTCCTCCCTCCTCCTCCTCCTCCTCCTCCTCCTCTCCTCCTCCTCCCTCCTCCTCCCTCCTCCTCCTCCTCCTCCCTCCTCCTCCTCCTCCTCCTCCTCCTCCTCCTCCTCCTCCTCCTCCATTCCCTCCTCCTTATCCCCGTCCTCTTTCTCCCTCGCCCGAGGCACGGACGGGGAGCGCCACGCGGCCTCGAAGGGCAGCCCTGGCATACAGTTTATCCCCGGGGCGTGGCAGACGGTGGCGCCGGGATCGGAGAGTTCCAGCAGCACGGCGAGGAGGAGGAGGAGGAGGAGGAGGAGGAGGAGGAGGAAGAGGACAGCGGCGACGTCGCCGACGAAGGCGGCGACGCGGGAGGAGAAACGAGAGGGATGGAGAGGCATGATGATGAAGAGGAAGCGAAGGAGGAAGAGGATGATGAGGGGATGTTCGGAGGAGGTGGAGGATGAGGAGGAGGAGTAGGATATGGGAGAGGACTGCATGGTGGAGGGCGAAGGGGAAGGGGGAAGGGGGAGAGAGGATAGTCGTAGCCATCGCTCATCTCCTCTTCTCTTTTCGGCACCCATTCGCGCGACGCTGTGCGCGCTTGGCTCAAGTTACTGGTAAAACAACTGGATTCGTTCGCGTCTGCTGGGGAAATAGTGCGCCCGCCTCTCGTAGCGCGCGCACATCACCGCCCACGTCTTGAATTGCACTTGCCAGAATATGACCGCCATGTCGCACAACATCGCGAAAAAGGGTCCATCCATCTACAAGGTCCATGAGAATGGATGCCCTGAGTTAAGAGAAGGAAGCAAGGAACGCGTTCAATCGCCGGGAACGACGATTACCTGACGAAGCAGTGTTTATCAGCCAAATGTATGATGGATAGAGATCCTGACGCTATGCGTTTTAGCAAGTAGCACAGGAGCTGACATGATATGGGTCGACGCGAATGTATTGACTTTGATATACACATCGAATACGTATTAAAAACACTTGGTCGGCAAGACCTTCAGCGGGGGGTGGGGCGGGGTGGTTGCTTCACTTGGTGCCGACGTCATGGCATATGGGACCGACCTAGAGGCAAGACTTTACGTTGACTTCGAGGTAGAACTTGATGGTCCAGAGGGTGGTATGCCAGATAACGGTGCCGTTGGCACCGGATCAGATTACCCACCCGATTGAGATCCCGAGGATACGGATCAGTTTCCAGGGCAGGGTGACACGCCTGAGTCGCTGGAAACAGCTCACAGCCGACAGGAAATGACCCCCGAAACGGCCGAGGGCGTCCTGCCGGACTGCATGTCCGAGGGTGACGACGGCCCAGATACCGCTGCAGGAGTCAAGCTCTAGGTCGATTTCCGCCGGGGTGGAGAGACATCGACCAGTTCCGACACGAACGCCGAAACCTAAAAGCCTTGGAGGGGGAAGAAGAGATTCCCAGCGGAATCCCTCCGACGAGCGCGGGGCGCGGTGGCATTGCCGCCGGCCCCGCGCCGCTTCCTGCCAATAGTGTTCGCCGGGCGAGGCCAGAGGAAACAGGGGACTCCCGTAATCCGTAATGTGAGGCATCAGTTGCCTTCCACACCTGCGAGATTTCCGAAGGGGGGGATGGGCCCTTCGCGCTCCTCAGCCCGGAGCTCTGAGAAGGAATTCGGATCGAGGAACGACGGGTGTATTTCCCTGGAGGGGAGTAACAGGGGGATGGAGTCGACCGCAAGGTCCACCTCGTCGTCCGAGAGTCGGATTCCCCTTGGAGAGATGCTGGAACCCAACAGACTAATGTGCCGAATTGTCTGGGGAAGCCAGGGCAATTCCAAAGATTGTGTACTTGCCCAACGCGCTCGGGGACATGCGAGCAGTGAAGTATCAAGTTCCTTCGCGAAGAATGCATTGGGCAAGCGGGGCACAACTGTTTCGCCATGTGGCAGGTCACGTGGGAAGTTGCCAGCAACCAAAGGCTGAACGCGCCCTGGCTTGGATGCACGAGCAGCTCGCAGGACAGATCCGCCTGGCGCAGTCGCATCAGAACGAGGTGGCCGAAGAAAAAAGGCTAGAGCCGAGCTGGAGGCAGCCGAAGAACGAGCCAAGCAGCGCGAGAGATGCAAGCCTGAGTGGCGACCGAGAGTCGTTGGAAGGATGCCCATAATAATGCGATGACCCACCGCGCGAAGGAAGCCGAAGAAGCTGCTCGCATCGCCAGGGCGGCAGTCGACAGAAGCCGCGCAGCAGAAGTTGCCGAAGCCAGGGAAACGAGAGAAACAAGCTTCAGAGCGGAACACGCGTCCAGGGTAAGAAGAGAAGGCGAAGGGAGATAAGGAGACGAGCGCTGCTCTGAGATCGCAGTTGCCCCAAGCCTAGAACGCCGCGCTCTCGAGACAAACCCCGGCAGCCGCTGCCGCTGGGCAGCAGGCGGGCGCTCGAACCGCGTCGACTGGTGGGGGGGCAGCCGCTGGCGCAACGCAAGGCTATCCAGCCAGTTTCTACCTGCGTCACTAGAGGCGGCACGCCGACCACACAGCGCGTTTCAACTCGCGTTGTTGGGGCCACTGCGAAGCTGGAATCCGCAAACGCACGCAATGCGCCAACAAGAAGTCGAGGCAGAGAACAGGGCAATGAAGGAGGCTCGCGAGGAAGAAGGGCTCCGTCGCCGAAGGGCGAGGGAAAATGGAGGCGCAGAAGGTCTGGGCAAGAGGGGTGCAGTGCCGCCGCGTCGGAAGAAAGCCTGTCTGTAACTGATGAAGGGGCCCGAGGCGCGCTGGGGGCTCGACGTCGCATGCGAATCGCAA